AAGAGGACGTAGGCTCCTGAGTCAGAAGCCGTGGTTGTTCCTGAGAGGTTTTTCAGACTTTAGGCGCTATTAAGAGTTCTGAAAATCAATTTTTTCAGGTCACAAGTATGCACTGAGGAGTTCTCTACAGTTCTCATTTGTTTTAGCTGAAGCAGAATATCGTATGTGGAGCGAGTATCTGAGCGCAGATAAAACGTTTAAAATACATGCATCAGTGACGATAAATACCAAATTCCATCTATGGCATCAGTTATTTGAATTTCATGTGGCTGGTTTCTAACCTGAAGAATATACTTTGCAGTGCAATCAATGGTCCCTGGTAGACCATTGAATTACTATAGTTCTGTTAGTTACCTTTTAGCTATTGCTGTGATGCTAATACATATTCATATCAAATAACCGAGTGATTCAGCTGACAGGTAAAATAAGTTCCAATACACTGGACAATTCATTGCAATGCACTCTGGATAGGTTTAGCACAGAATTGTCCTTCAATATGCGTAGTATTTAAGTTTGGAGTATGAATAAGGAAGCATGTATGCAACTATGAAATTTGTATTTATGAACTTCTATGGCAAGCTATTAGCTGTATAATATTACAATGTGCTCGCATTTTTATGTGTTTCTATAAATAATATTGCAACTCAGTCTACTGGGAATGTAGTATTAGCTGTTTTGTATGATTGCAAGGACATGATTGCAGTTGTCTGGTTTTCTTATTATTTTATTACTGTTGATTTTCTTTTTTCATTCCTGCTTTTCAAAATTCTCAAAAGTCAGTCTACTGGAAAGTTTGGTCTGGAAAGTTTAGCCCTTCTGAGCTAATGCATACCCCAAACTGTCTTATGTATTTGATTAATAGATATTACATATATATATACACACACATACATGTACATATTTCCCCCCTCATGTGTAAATTGGAAAGAGAAAAAACAATTTTTCTCAAGGTTTAAGAAAAAAATTTAAAATATTGCTGTTTTTGCTGCAGCCAGTCATGAAAGACTTTCAACTAAATAGGAAAGTTTTGAGCAGTCAGAGGCTGTGATTTAACAACAGCTGTTTGTGATCAGTGCCAGTGGAAATCACTTGTTTTCACCCAGCCGAAAAGAACAGGCTGGTAAAAGGGATTCCAGGAATAGGTACAGTCTTTCACACAGAGTTTAAATAAATCAAGTCTACATATTGTAAGATGGTGCCATTTACAATGTAACATATTTGTCATTTCTAATGAGACTTTTCCAGAAATCAGGCATGGAATAAAATCAGGCTCGATAGTAGTTTTATAAAAGAATTGAGGAAATCGGAGCCCTAACTGTACGTCCAACCCCTTAGAAGGGACATAGATATTTTCACTGCTGGGCTTCTGATTCAGAACTTGACTGTCTTCATCAACTAACACCTATATGGTCAAACTGGGTGGGTAGTGTTGGAAATAAGAAGATAAGGAATGCTATTCTCAGTCAGATCCAATATCACTCTGCCCCAGCACTCTGACAGTAGCAGATGCTCTTTAGGCAGAGCCCAGAACCCTGGCCCCTCTCTGTGGTCCCGTCCCCTTGGGCTCCCCAGCATCCAGAAGTGCTGCATTAGGAAGAGTACTTCCCTGCCTAATCCTTTGAGACTCCATTGAGTATCTGTCTCACTCTGTCATGAAACAAGTGGTTCACAACATGTTTTTTTTCCAAACTAGAGTATAGTCCCTGGCAGCCTCAGTGGTGCCGAAAGTGCCAAAGCCTGAGTTGGCGTGCCTTCAGTTGGGTATCTTCTGACTTCCACAGAGACTCCAAGCAGTCCCGCTGTCATGTAGCTACACATCCTCTGTATTTCAGATACACAAGTCCCATCTCAGACACGTCAGATGAATTGTGCCCGTTGCTCTCCATTGATTATTACAGAAGCTCAGGATGGCTACCAGATGGCTACATGGTAGATGACTAAACTTAGCTGACATCAATTCCCACTCGCTATGCCTAGAGGTAAACTCCTACGCTGAAAAAAGTTGGTCTGAAAGCTGGATGAATTGCCCTCTTCACTCATCTGAGTTTCGGTAACATCTTTCTGAATTTATGAAGCTGGTGCCTGTATGAATGCATTCTGTTTGCAAAGTGTTGTACCACGTTGGCACTTTTAACAAACACAAAAGTCACTTAAAGCCTTTTTGAAAATATAAAATGAAGTTTTGCTGTTTTGAGTCCCTGAAGGTGAATCTTGCCAAATAGTTCAAAATAATTTTTCTTCCTGTTGTTACTAGCATTTATGGCCTGTGCAATAAAGATTTATAATTACCGGAAATATTCAAGGGAGGTGGGAGAAAAACTCTTTCCTTTTTATGCCTCTGTAAAACTGCTTTTCTAAGTTGTGTAAAAAGAACCTGTTTTATTTAAAAGCTTCTCTTTTTTCATTCAGATTCTTTAAAAGCCTTTCTGTAATCTAATTTTAAAAATGAATGTGGTTCTGTTCAAATAAAAGTTTACTCTTAATGGCTGTTATGCTTCATATGATAGAGCACCTTCATTTACTTTGTTATACATGGGCAGTCAGCGGTGTTATGAACTGTTTCTTTATTACTAAGCAATATGCAGATCTCTGGCATCTTCCACAAAGGAAAGGGTGGGTTTTTTTAAACTCTTTATTTGACATGATCATAAAGCATGGGTACTAGCTCAGTGTTTTATGACATGCTCAAGTATGATCAATAATTTTAACTATGCTGGTTTCCCCCTTAAGATCAATATTATAGAATTTTTCCAGTCACTATTTGAATGGATTTTAATTGAAATTGATTCTCTATAAAATAATAAATTGAAGTGTATTAACAATGATCTTGTGGTCCTTGACGTAAGGAATTCTGAATTCTAACAAAATTCTGAGCAGTTTTCAAAAAATACCTAGTTTTCCTCTACAAAGCCTAAGTATTCATAAAGCACCTGTAGGGGTTTTTAAGTACTAATTCCAACCGATGACAGCATGAATACAGCAGCCTTGATTTTAACATGAGCATGAATAGAAATGTGGCGAGGAAGTACTGCTTTTTAAAGAAATCTACTTTTCTGTTTGCAGTTCAGCTACAGCTGTATTGTGTGATCCTAATATTTAAATATTAAATATATACTGTTATGTATAGTGTTAACTTCAAAGTTTTTGTCAGTAAAAATACCTCCCAGTCACCTGACATTAGAAGTTATCTATACAGAGAAAGGATACATTGAGAAAATCTGCAGTGAGTAGCTCTGTGAGAACCTCAGTGTTTTTCCAAAGGTGTCACCTGCAAGGGCATTGAGTCAGTCTTTTCTCTGTTTTTCTTAGTGTAAGAGTGATGGGGGCTGAGTTTTAGGCAGTAAAACTCATGTACATGGCAATACCACACAGTTCTGAAGCTCCTCAACCACACTAAGGTTTCATCCAAGTCCTAGGGCTTATTCTCAGTTAAACGCATCCACATCCTTGGAAAAATAGTAGGTTTACATGCATTTGGCTTGTATGATGGCTTTGACCTGAAGACAAACTGATTAGCAAATAGCCAGACTCAATAATGTGCATATCATTTTATATCCAGACAGCCCGATATAAAATGTCAGAACTCTGACTTAGCGTAGTCATTCAATCCTACACGATGGCCAGAGCTCTCATCCTCAGGAACTGCAGGGATAAGCAAGTTAGAGACTTTTGCATGTGAACAAAAAGCCATGTCAAGGTTCACCTTCAAGCTTGAGTGCAGTCTGAAGGCATAGACATTGACATGGTCTTAGAGTTTTGAGTCTGCTCCACTAGAAGTAGGACTCAGACCTTCCCAGTCAGTTCATCTGGGACACCCAGCTGCCATCAGCTGGCATTTGATGGTGTGAGATGGAGTTGAAGCAACTCTCACACCTGGGCCTTGAAGCAAGTAATTTTCACACATTTTTTCATTCTTCACTCAGACCAGCTGGGAGGCTCACTGTCAATAACATCAGCTGGCAGACTCTGAAGTTCTGTTCTGGGTTTTTTTGTGTTGAGAGAGCACTGTTGTGTAGGACTTTCAGGAGCTGGGTTTTGAGAGAAAGACCTGAAAGAAGAAAAGGTCCTGCACAGCAAAAGGAGAAGGTTCTTAATAACAGGTGATGCCTTTGTTCATTGTTAATGCATTGGTAATTATTCATTTGTGGTAATGCAAAGCTTTTATTGCTAAAATGTACTCTCCAAAGTCCTCCAAGCTGTATGGTTTTTGGTTTCTTTCCTTTTCAGCGTATGTCAGAGGTAAAGATGGAGAGGGAGTGGTAATCACATTTCCTTCTTTCTTTCAAGTGCTAGGTCATTCCCATCTTCTTGAGAAATAAAGAGGAAAGCCTTCTTTCTCGCTCTATTTCTTTTTGTCTTAATTTCCTTTAAAAATCCTGAGTAACTGAGGACTATTGTTAAAGTTGGGCCAAGGGATTAGTATCTCTTGCTCTAGTTCCTTTTGTTGATTTTCCTTTAGCCCAAGTGTTTAAAGGGCTGATTAGACTACATTTTTCTGGTGAGAAGTTTCTTTAGCTTGTTCCAGAGTGTAGCTATGTGACATACTTTTCAGCCTTGCCTTGTGCTTTTCTGCCATAAGGTGCCAAGATGGTCCGGCCATGTTTAAAGACTCTTGGATGCCGGAAGGAGCAATCAGCATTGTCCTAGACAATGGACCAGCTTTTAAAAGTGTCGGCCAATTAAGGATCCTGATAGACCTTTGAAAATTCCCTATGCTGATCACTCCCATGGTGTCACAGCAGCTATAATTCTCGGTCCAAACTTTAAAGACCTTGAAGCAAACAAACTGTATTTCAGATGAAAGGGACAGGAAAGAGGAAGGGAGGGACAGTCCTACCTCTAAAGCTCTACTGACAAATCAGTTGTCACCTGTGTAGTTTCTGAATGCGTCTTTCTCTAGGCTGAAGAATTGCTTTCATGTGTCCAGCAGTGCAGCTGCCATCCATTCTGCTACAGCTGTTGACTGTGACACTAACCACTGATGTTGTTGACTTTTGTAGATCTCTACTTAAACCTGGAGCATGGTTTTTTGAGGGTCATAGAAAAGCAGCCAGCCCTTGCAGCCCATCAAGGTAACGAATGTCTTTTTGCTGAGATGTATCTTCATAAAATGAGACATCTATGAGATTTTTTTGTTTTTTCTAGAAATGTCTCCTTTAGTTGTGGAGGGGTTTTCAGCTATTGTTGTGAAAACAGTGTTTTATTTTCTTCTAATCATAACAAGCTCTTTCCAAGTGAATTACTATTGTTTACTGATATTTACTTGCTAGAATTGTTTGTTGATAAATTTTCTTTCTCCCTTCTTAAATATCAGCTGCTGTGTGGTAAGCACTAGAATGTGTGACCATTACTATGTCAGCAACTCATGTTTTCCTTTATTATACTATTACTGCTATTCTTAGATCTCTTTGGTTCCCTCTAGTAAGGGGAGAGTCACTGTCAGAATTTTACTGTACATCTACATGGCTTAACTGATCACATGATAATGTGAATAAGAATCTACGTCTTACTCATTTCTTCAGTGTTTTCTATTGATCAGATGATCAGAACCCAGGGTGTTTAGGTGAGGAATGTAAACAGATGTTGGGACCAGAAGAGAGGAATCCTTTTGTCAAGGGTGTCTCCAGGAATCAGGAGCACCTAAAACTAGTTTCTGCTGCTTATAATTAATTTGGCTAGAGTCTTTGGGAAAGTCTTTAGCTGACTTAAAACTTGACCCATAGTCTTCATGGATACCTGCTGTATCAGTTCTAGCACAGTGAGCAAATATAAAAGTAGCTACTCAACTAAAAAGAATGTAAATTTATGTCTACCACCAGCTGTTGGTTGATTTTATCCAAATCATCTCCCCTTAAAAATCTGAGACCTCAACTTTGCTCTTGGTTCTATGAGGGCAAATGAAGGAGTAATGCTCCATTGATTTCAGCGAAATGTGAAACTAGTTAAAATGAGAACAGGATCAACCCCGTTTTGCCTCTACAGCATGGGACTATAAAGCCCATTCTAATCAATGAAGGGTACCAATGACTTTGTTGACCTTTGGATCAAATCCATAAACCTTTTTAGTAACTTAATTAAAACCACAAATACAGAAACATAAGTGTTCTCTTCTCTAACCCTACATTGGTCTCTCAAAAAATTGAAAAATATGATACCTTGCCAATGTGATTGTATCAAAAACAAAATTTTTATTTTATTATCTTTAGAATTTTTTCTTAACTGTCTAAAGCCTGTTTTTCACGTGTTCTCAAAATCTGTTTTGCTGATGTGCACTTCCCATGTTATTTGCAATCCTAATTTCATAATCACTGTTGAAAGTGAAACCTACAAAACTTTCCTTTATCTTACTCTTTCTTTACTAAAATGGCACAGTCAGAGATAAAAACAAGTATACTTCTCTTAGCTTGAGCAGTTTGAGGTGTCTTTGTTGTATTTTACATTAGCTGTCTACAGGTTAGGTGTTTGGTTGAACTCATTGCTCGCATTCCTCAAATAATGAATGAAGAACGACAGCCACCTCCAGAGTTAATCTGTGCCCTTCTAAAACAGATGCCCATGAGAGCTGCAATGCATTTCCCTCCAAAGGTTCTTGCCTCTGTCAGCTGGAGGACTTACCATCTAATTTGGGATAGCTAAAATTAAATAGAGGAAGAGTGGGCAGTAGCTTTTCCCATTTTTTGCTTCTCAGCATGGAGCATATAACAAGTGACATTATCCACTTTTAATTTGCCACCAATTTTCCACTGCCTTAGTGTTAATTTTATTGTCTTTATCCATACCTGTTGGCAAAATTTGGTTATGCTATGCCCTTAAATTGCTTTTTTTTTGGCTACAGTTGATTCATATTCTACGTGGTGATTCATATTCTATTACTTTCTACAAATATATTTTAACTGAGCTAACTACCTACCACAAGCTCAGTGGTAGAAGAATTAAAAGCAGCAACCAAAAAGGCAAAAATTAATGAGTTACAAGTTCTGCGTTAAGAGGTTTGGGGTTTTTTTTCTTACTTGTAATTGAAATAGTCCTTTAGTCTGAAGCAGACAAGGACTCATATATTGTCTTGGGATAAGGTTTTAACTTACCTGTGCTTTGGCAATTTTTCTCAGACATGAGTGCTTTAATAACTGCAGTTAGACAGATCCTAGTCCTCTGAGTTCTTCCTTTCATCTGGACGCGGTTGAGCCTGATACAAATATTAAACCATTATTATTATTTTATGATTGTGGCTTTTGTTGCCTCTGTGGAGCTGGGTCCATCTTACACAGGAAGGCCAAGACCAGCCTGAGAGCCCCAGATGAAATGCTCATTGAGAACTGAACTTCTGCTTTATAATTCAGAAAAGTTACTGAAAACTTCTTCCCTTTTATATAATTAATTTGTACAGTCATTGAAGGTGTAAGTCTCTTGAAAACCATGAACTGCATAGTGTCAATTAAATAGAAAAAAAACAACCTATCCAAAACCAAGCTTCTTCATATGTCTTCTATTTGGGCTTTCTATGTCTCCCTTAAATCTCTGTTACATCCTCATGCAGCTCGTTCATTTTGTTGAGCGCTAAAGCCTTTTACCATCTGCCAAAAGGTTTTATTTTGGGGTTTCCTCTTATGTGGGAGGGTGGTTTCCTCCTTCCCTTCGTGCTAGTTTCATTGCTATCTTTAGGACTCGGAGCCTACTGGAGACCTTCCTGTCTCCCTTTTATTACACATTCTCCTCCTTCCTTGCTGTTGAGTTCCTGCTCCCGGGGGCAGAGAAGAAAACAAGAACTGAGGCTGCCTTTCTGAGCTGCCTGGGTGATGCAGATGGCTTTTGTTTTAAACACGGGCGTTGGGTTCCTGGAGTGCAGGGCTGGGTGATGTTCTCAGCAGAAACATCCCCGAGTGGGTGTTTTCAGGAACGGTTTGGCGTGGGGGTGCTCCCAGCTGCCCAGCCCTGCGGCTGCAGAGCGCTATGGGCTTCTGAGAAAGGGCACTGGCACCCGGGGCGTTTAAAAGCAGTTTACTCCTCTCTATTTGTTAGCCTTTTACCTCCGCACATTCATCCAACCTGTTCCGTCACTGTTAAGACATCTGTAGCCATAGCCCTTTAGTTTCTTCCTTTTATGGGAACTTTTAGATGTTTATTTTTTCTATGAATGTATCGATTTCCTGTCTTTGCCTTTCTTGCGCTGTAGAGAAAAAGAAGTGAAATTGGAGGTGTTATATTTGCAGAGGGATAGAATTGCGTCTTTTTTTTTTTTTTTTTTTTTCCCCGGGAGCGAAATAAAGTGGATGCCAGGCTGGGTTTTTCAGCACAGCTCTGGAGGATGCAGGGGATACAGCTGCAGTGGGATGTGAGCATCCAGGTGCCAAGCCCTGAGCGCGGCAGGGGGAGGCAGCAAGCCCCTGTCAGGCACCTCCATTTAAATCACTGCTGTGGAGCTCTTCAGGTACCTGCCATCATCTCTCCCTGCAATAGATGCTTCGTGGGGGAAACAAAAGGCCCTGCCTTTTGCCCTCTGCCTGCTGGGAGGGAGTGCAGTGTGTGTCTGGGGGTGTGCAGTCCTGCTGCTGCCTGTCCTGATCTGTACAGCCAAGCCTGTCACCGGGGGCGGTCTGCATGCGGAGGGCGCAGGCACAGGGAGTTGTGCTGGGTGTCAGACCACCTCCCGAGAGCTCTGCCACCATCCATATCAACCACATTATACCTCTGCTGAGTGCATTTCTGGCTTTCCTTTTTTGATTTTTTTTTTTTTTTTGATCGCTGGCATTACACCAACTAGCATGTCAGGTGGTAATAGGAATGCAAGATTATTTTATTTGTGATTAGCTCATCTCTTGGACTCTGAGATGTTCTAATCTCTATCCTTCCGTCATCACCCAGCTCTTCTTGAAGCTCCATACTTATTTGGTTTATTTTCTCTCCCTCGGTAACTGAGAACTTTCTTGTTGATTGCCATGCAAAATTGTCAGTACTTAAAAATAAATGATCCATCTTCCATCCCTTCAGTGTATCCAGTTTTTATGACTGTAGGAATCTAATGAAAGGTTGAAATAGGGATAAGGTGGATGAGGATGTCCCAGGGTGCTACCTAAATATCTGATCTACAGATGAAAAGGGATTCTGGGATTTCTGTTCAGGAAAGTGCCAGTAAAGCTGCCTGTTTCTTAGCACTGCATATTTTAATGACATTCAATTCCAAACTCCAAGTACAGCGTTGCAGAGAGAGGTCAGTGGTGCCCATTTCTGTACCAGCAGAATGGTGCAACGTAACACAGCAGCCTGAGGTAGCATTCTCCTGAAAAATAAGAGGGCTGTGTGAAAAAAACTCAAGCAGGAGACACATGTGTCTCCTCATTTATAAAAAGCAAGGCATTGTACTTCTGATTAAACACAGTTTTCTATGTTCTCTCCGTCACATAGATGCACACACATGCACATACTCTAATTGGATAAAAACGTAAACAGCAAATTAAGGATATGATTAAAAATTAAACAGCCACTGCAGAAATCATCAATAGTAAGTGCTTATTAACTTACGTATAACATTATGCTGGTGTGATAGCTTCAAATTGGCTGCTGAAACTGATTTGCAGCAAATAAGGCCAGCTTTCCAAAAGGATATTTCTGGGCTTCAGTAATCAGACCCTCAGCTCTGATTGCTTGTTTTGTTCCTCCACAATTTTTGCCAGCCTTTTAAAGTAACTGATAATATGCATGACTTTCTTGAGGTATAGGGGGTGATGTGGTTAATCCTTCACCTCTGGTGCTTAGCAAGAAGGAGACAGTATGGGTCTGACCCAGCTTTGTCCTATCTTATGTCTTATGCATTGTGAGACTTCTACAATTTGCCCCTCATCTCCATCCCTTTTTTCTGCAGGGCTTTGTCAGAGCCCCTATGCTTTCTGTGACCCACCTTGTTGGTGGTTTTGTGTAAGTGCTGCATGATAAGCTGAAGGGCAAAATGGATTTATACATATTCACCTGCCCATCCGAGTGCCACATCCACGTCTGTGATCTGAAGAGCAGCTCCATCTGGCATTGCATGGCAGAGGTTGCAATTTCTGGAAAGGGCTCCATGGTCTCTTTCCAT